GGGGGGGGGGGGGGGGGGGGGGGGGGGGGAGGTGGTGGTGGTACTCCGTAAAATGGCTTATACGGAAAGGCTCTTCCCGAAAGGGAACCTTTTTCAGGCTGCAGGTATATAAAAGGGTAGGCGTTTCACAAGTTGAGGTATATATAAAGGGGAGGGGAAATCTATAATTTAGTTATGTTAAAGTACCTTTACAAAATATTTCTAACAGAGGCACATTGTGGCTGTATCATTTAATCTATTAGGCACGCTACGTAAAAATGACAAGAAGACTTCCTTTTTTTGCAATTCATTTATAATACGGCTAGTTGTGAAAGCATGTGAAATGGTACACAAAAGGGTAAGCGGTTAGATGTGTACCCCGGGTCCAAGGTTGGTATCACTATTGTGGGCTTTCTGCGCGTGTTAATTTGAACCCATGGTTTGGTGGCAGTAACCATTTTCCCTGCTCTTCCCCTGTCCATATATATTTGACTTAACTTAAGCTCACCGAGAAACAAGTTCAGCATTAGTGTCCCCAGATTTAGCGCTCTACAGTCTAACCAGAACATAAAGTCGTTCCTCGTGCGTTATTCCAAATCTGCTAGTAGGATTGTTGAGCCGGGATTATTTTCGCATCATAGCTGAAATAGATTTAGTTTGGCGCATAACAAACTGACTTAGGTTACGCTTTTGTGTAAAGAAAAGGAAATTAAAAGGAAAGATCGTCTGGGGAAATTTCATAAATTACCTCTTAATTTGCACGAAGAAACCTCGGTTCGGCGTCGGCCATGTTGACCATAAGTAAACTTTCCTCGAATGAAGTTATTAATTAAGTATTCAAATGGTGCCGTGGTTTATTGAAAGCGTAAATAGGAAACAATTATTGGATAAGCTGTCTTCCGTGATATTAAGAAAAATTAAGGGAGAAGTAAGTGTTATCAGCCCCAGCCTTCGGTCTTGGCTGATTAACACTGACGGAGACCTTGCTGTAATAATCTACAGCCTTTTGTCCTTCGGCGAAGGTAAAATCAAGTTACAATTAGTCACTGTCGAGTTAAAGGTTGGATTAAAAGTTACCAAGGCAGCCGTAGAGTTCCATCCTCATGGAGATGTAGTCGTTCCATGCTGTGGGTGTCAGTCTAATGTATCGTGCTTTGATTGGTGGAGTTAAGTGATGTTTTACCACGGTGTCAGTATCATTGTTTCCAACAAACACCTGCAGGAACACGAATAAACAAACGTATATACATATTGCTTATATTATTATACATTGAACTCGCTCTCTCTTTTCTGATTGGCCGAAAGCGAACAGTGAATTTTCGAAATCAGCGCCTGCACCGTCATCTAGCTGCAGATTATACAATAATCATGTCAAAGACACTCAAGGTCACGGGTAATCATGTCATGTATGACCGCGGTGCATGATTTCTAAGGGTAATC